GTGTATACATCCCTATACATGCGGTATATTACATGCTTCATAATATTCATGTGTATACATCCCTGTACATGCGGTTTATTAAATGCTTCGGAATATTCATGTGTATACATCCCTGTACATGCGGTTTATTACATGCTTCGTAATATTCATGTGTATACATCCCTATACATACGGTATATTACATGCTTCGTAATATTCATGTGTATACATCCCTATACATACGGTTTATTAAATGCTTCGTAATATTCATGTGTATACATCCCTGTACATGCGGTTTATTACATGCTTCATAATATTCATGTGTATACATCCCTATACATACGGTATATTACATGCTTCGTAATATTCATGTGTATTCATCCCCATACATGCGGTTTATTACATGCTTCGTAATATTCATGTGTATACATCCATGTACATGCGGTTTATTACATGCTTCGTAATAGTCATGTGTATACATCCCTGTACATGCGGTTTATTACATGCTTCATAATATTCATGTGTATACATCCCTATACATTCGGTATATTACATGCTTCGTAATATTCATGTGTATACATTCCTGTACATGCGGTTTATTACATGCTTCATAATATTCATGTGTATACATCCCTGTACATGCGGTTTATTACATGCTTCGTAATATTCATGTGTTTACATCCCTGAACGGTGGGTTTCAAGTTTCAAGTTTCACCAAACACCTGTTCCTTAGTTGTTTTTTTAAATGGACGATTAACACGAACAGTGAATACGCAAGAAACTATCGTCCCTCTTATCGATGTCAGGGTGACACTCCTACACTCCTAGGTGAAAAAACGTGTTTTGTAAGACGGGTTAGTAGACGATTAATGTTGATCTGACACAGACATCGGATATGGAGAAAAAGAATAATGTGTTCTTGTGTTATAATCCCCTGACATGTGCACCGGGAAGCTACGTCCTTGATATCAATCACTGCACATGTTGGAGCTGCGGTTAGGTCTCCGGTTGGCTGTAGATTAGTCCAGTAGGAGAGCCTTATGTAAATTATCTTTATTTGCCACATTTATGTATATCATTAAACACAGTAGGACATGTTGTGATTACATGTACAACTTACCTTTCACGTGTTGATTGCACTTCTTGATCTCGGTGAAATGTGCATACCAACCCCCACCCCCTCCCCCTCCTCCTCCCACCCCATCGCCCGACTCCAAGCCCCCATGCCTCCCTTATTTCCAAACATCGGGATCTACATCTACCATGTACATGTCGACACACATAGCCTGCATTGTATCATACAACGTCACTTCCAAATGAGGAAAAACGTAAATGAAGTGTTATATAATTGGAATATAAAAATGAATAATACTTGTATCATATATTTCCCTGGAGGTCAGACCAGGAACCACGTTACTTCATTATGTCGTTTTGGTTTTAAAATAGTTTGATACCATCTGAAACTGACCAACCTGGTACTACATAGCTAATTCGAGTTGATGATATTCATAAACGCTTGAGCCAGAGCTGATGATAAACAAGTATTTTTTATGGAATCATTCAAATTCGAATGCACATGTCAGTTCATGATCAATTTACAAGAACGCAAACGCATATTAATTTCCATTTCCACACAACGTTTTCAAGACAGGTATAAAACGACGAAATGCCATGCGATATATTTGTTCGAATACCAAGGTCCTAATCTAGTTACTGTAAAAGGCGACTTTGCTTGTCGTAAAAGGCGACTAACGGGATCGGGTGGTCAGGCTCGCTGACTTGGTTGATGCATGTCATCGTATCCCAATTGCGTGGTTCGATGCTCATGATGTCAATCACTGGATTGTCTGGTCCAGACTCGATTATTTCACAGACCGCCGTCATATAGCTGGAATATTGCTGAGTGCGGCGTTAAACAACAAACAAACAAACAAACAAAAAGTTACTGAATTTCAGGTACGTAGTTTGTAAAGACCTACCAGAGAAGAAAGGTTTTGATCGTGTCTGCCTATTACAGCAGATATCGGCTTATCAATACTTACGTTGCGTTAATTCTTGTATGGGTGTGTTGAAGTACATGAACGTCTTTGTTAGGTTCTCTACTTGAGAACCTCTCACGGCCATGCGAGTTGCATCGTAGCGACACCAAACGGCAATACGTAGGTAGCTGTTGAAGGGTCGCTTGGGAACGCCAATGTCAGTTACAACAGTACCTACTGATGCTCATGTATGAAGCAACACATTCGATTTTTCTGTTTTATTAACAAAATAAATATTTGCTAAACAGAAACGTAATCAACAATTTTCTTTTGTAAGATACTATGTCAACATGGTAAAAAGGTCTGAAACTGCTACTCAGTACGAAAATACAACAAGAATTACATGCTTCGTAATATTCATGTGTATACATCCCTGTACATGCGGTTTATTACATGCTTCATACTATTCATGTGTTTACATCCCTATACATGCGGTATATTACATGCTTCGTAATATTCATGTGTATACATCCCTATACATACGGTATATTACATGCTTCGTAATATTCATGTGTATACATCCCCATACATGCGGTTTATTACATGCTTCGTAATATTCATGTGTATACATCCCTGTACATACGGTTTATTACATGCTTCGTAATAGTCATGTGTATACATCCCTGTACATGCGGTTTATTACATGCTTCATAATATTCATGTGTATACATCCCTATACATACGGTATATTACATGCTTCGTAATATTCATGTGTATACATTCCTGTACATGCGGTTTATTACATGCTTCATAATATTCATGTGTATACATCCCTATACATGCGGTATATTACATGCTTCATAATATTCATGTGTATACATCCCTGTACATGCGGTTTATTAAATGCTTCGGAATATTCATGTGTATACATCCCTGTACATGCGGTTTATTACATGCTTCGTAATATTCATGTGTATACATCCCTATACATACGGTATATTACATGCTTCGTAATATTCATGTGTATACATCCCTATACATACGGTTTATTAAATGCTTCGTAATATTCATGTGTATACATCCCTGTACATGCGGTTTATTACATGCTTCATAATATTCATGTGTATACATCCCTATACATACGGTATATTACATGCTTCGTAATATTCATGTGTATTCATCCCCATACATGCGGTTTATTACATGCTTCGTAATATTCATGTGTATACATCCATGTACATGCGGTTTATTACATGCTTCGTAATAGTCATGTGTATACATCCCTGTACATGCGGTTTATTACATGCTTCATAATATTCATGTGTATACATCCCTATACATACGGTATATTACATGCTTCGTAATATTCATGTGTATACATTCCTGTACATGCGGTTTATTACATGCTTCATAATATTCATGTGTATACATCCCTGTACATGCGGTTTATTACATGCTTCGTAATATTCATGTGTTTACATCCCTGAACGGTGGGTTTCAAGTTTCAAGTTTCACCAAACACCTGTTCCTTAGTTGTTTTTTTAAATGGACGATTAACACGAACAGTGAATACGCAAGAAACTATCGTCCCTCTTATCGATGTCAGGGTGACACTCCTACACTCCTAGGTGAAAAAACGTGTTTTGTAAGACGGGTTAGTAGACGATTAATGTTGATCTGACACAGACATCGGATATGGAGAAAAAGAATAATGTGTTCTTGTGTTATAATCCCCTGACATGTGCACCGGGAAGCTACGTCCTTGATATCAATCACTGCACATGTTGGAGCTGCGGTTAGGTCTCCGGTTGGCTGTAGATTAGTCCAGTAGGAGAGCCTTATGTAAATTATCTTTATTTGCCACATTTATGTATATCATTAAACACAGTAGGACATGTTGTGATTACATGTACAACTTACCTTTCACGTGTTGATTGCACTTCTTGATCTCGGTGAAATGTGCATACCAACCCCCACCCCCTCCCCCTCCTCCTCCCACCCCATCGCCCGACTCCAAGCCCCCATGCCTCCCTTATTTCCAAACATCGGGATCTACATCTACCATGTACATGTCGACACACATAGCCTGCATTGTATCATACAACGTCACTTCCAAATGAGGAAAAACGTAAATTAAGTGTTATATAATTGGAATATAAAAATGAATAATACTTGTATCATATATTTCCCTGGAGGTCAGACCAGGAACCACGTTACTTCATTATGTCGTTTTGGTTTTAAAATAGTTTGATACCATCTGAAACTGACCAACCTGGTACTACATAGCTAATTCGAGTTGATGATATTCATAAACGCTTGAGCCAGAGCTGATGATAAACAAGTATTTTTTATGGAATCATTCAAATTCGAATGCACATGTCAGTTCATGATCAATTTACAAGAACGCAAACGCATATTAATTTCCATTTCCACACAACGTTTTCAAGACAGGTATAAAACGACGAAATGCCATGCGATATATTTGTTCGAATACCAAGGTCCTAATCTAGTTACTGTAAAAGGCGACTTTGCTTGTCGTAAAAGGCGACTAACGGGATCGGGTGGTCAGGCTCGCTGACTTGGTTGATGCATGTCATCGTATCCCAATTGCGTGGTTCGATGCTCATGATGTCAATCACTGGATTGTCTGGTCCAGACTCGATTATTTCACAGACCGCCGTCATATAGCTGGAATATTGCTGAGTGCGGCGTTAAACAACAAACAAACAAACAAACAAAAAGTTACTGAATTTCAGGTACGTAGTTTGTAAAGACCTACCAGAGAAGAAAGGTTTTGATCGTGTCTGCCTATTACAGCAGATATCGGCTTATCAATACTTACGTTGCGTTAATTCTTGTATGGGTGTGTTGAAGTACATGAACGTCTTTGTTAGGTTCTCTACTTGAGAACCTCTCACGGCCATGCGAGTTGCATCGTAGCGACACCAAACGGCAATACGTAGGTAGCTGTTGAAGGGTCGCTTGGGAACGCCAATGTCAGTTACAACAGTACCTACTGATGCTCATGTATGAAGCAACACATTCGATTTTTCTGTTTTATTAACAAAATAAATATTTGCTAAACAGAAACGTAATCAACAATTTTCTTTTGTAAGATACTATGTCAACATGGTAAAAAGGTCTGAAACTGCTACTCAGTACGAAAATACAACACGAATGGATAAAGTATTGACGATCAGCTGTTTTTTTAAACTTTATATTTTATGGTTAGAGGAGAAACCATAAAATACTCGTCCCACAAAAAACGAGAAACGAATAAAACAGAAAGAAAACCAGAAATATGGATGAAATAACACGAAGACTGGACGAATCTTGCAACAAAACCAAAATGTAACGAATGCAAAAGCTCGAAGTATTAAAGGAAACACTTGAGAAATCAACAAAATAAAAACACATAGCCTCATGATAAGAGCTAAAGCAATAAGGACTGAAAAGGGAGAAAACCCAACAAAATATGTTCTTGGTCTAGAATCACGAAACTTCATTCACATATCATTGGGAATATTAGAAAGCGGTAACGGGATGGCGATCGAAAAACAACACAAATTTCAAGAAGAAGCAGAAGTTAAGAGTTTGTTTTCACTGCAAAATATAGACGAAGAGGTAAGAGATATTAACCCCGAATTCGAAGGCTTGCTTAAAGACTATGATCTCCCTAAATTAAGCAAATTTTAGATAACTTCACCAGCTCTGGAAGACGAATAAAAGTATGAGGAAGTACTGGCTGCTTTAAAATGTTTAAGGAATGAAAAAATCCCAGGTCATGAAGGCTTTACTGTTGAAGTCTTATTTCTTTCTGGATTGACATAGCATATAGAACTCTCTTATATATTTTCTTAATTTTGGTCCCTCCATACATAGATGGTTTTAACTGTTCTATCGGAAATTCTAAATTTCTAAATAATTTTTCAGAGGTTTCTTTTGAATATGGAAAGGGTTTTGTCGCTTTTATCCATAAAGAATAGTGTCAGCATGGTATCTGTTGGATAGATGCCATAATCGATGATAAGTCGAAACTACTTTCATTTGACACATTTGTAAAAAGGTTTGGTACATGTATCAAAAACAAACTTTCTATTAACGATTGACCACACTACAATGTAATTCCCCCTTAGATGTGCAGAAGAGTTTGCAATGGTTCCAAAACAGTATTCTACACTATCTATTCTATCTTACCAAATATAATATCCTGTCAAAAATAAGATATGTTGGATCAGTAGCTGTAATTTCTTCGCCAAAGATACAGAAACAATCACTCATATTTATTGGGAATGCAGCAAGGTAAGCTTTTTCTGGAATTTACTAAAAGAATTGCTATACGATAAAAATTTAAAAAATAAATTAAATAACAAAGAGAAATGTCCTACTTGGTTATCCAAGTAGAAACAAATATCCAAATTATTATTAAACTTTTTAAAAATGTGATTAAAAAATTAAGTTTCACAAAACTATGCCACACTTCTGTACTCTCCAGAATAAAGTACAACAATACTACATGATCACAGATTCCTTTTCAAATAGACTTACATCTAGTCTCTGAAATGAACATATCGTACATAAAAAAACAGTTGTTCAGTTATCTTAATAAAAATATAATAAAAAGGAGCCCAGTGACTCTCTTCATTTTCCTTATACTGCAGTGATCTAGACTTGCCAAACATTATAGACTTGCATGGGCTGTATTTGATATATATTTGTATCGGGGTCTGTAAGACAGACTCCTTTTCAAAGTGCAGGTCGTCATGTCATGCTCTATTCTGTTAAGTGAGTGAGTGAGTTAATATTTAACGTCACATCGGCAATATTTCAGCCATATCGTGACGATATTCTGTTAAGAGTCCATATAAACGTGTCCGCTCAAGTCCAGTATGAAGAGAAGTCGATGTTGTTTCATACCATGCGGAGGTCATTGTAATTTGGTTTTCTGTAAAATGTTGATGAATGCAACAAATAACAATGCAATAAGAAAATAATAATAATTTGCTGATAAAAACATGTCGCAGCGACATACGTAACATCTCGAAAGAGATATACATAATTCATGTTCTAGGTACCATCTGTTAAACAGAACGGGTTTTATCTACACTCTCTATCGCGTTGGGCACACACCCACCCGAAAGATGGCTTGTCAGGTCCCAAAACAATCCATACTTGTCATATAGAATATTGATATAGAACCCATGCGTTCTTCATCTAGTTAGGGCGGTCAACGTTAGCAAAGTTCACTGGACACGACGGGGTATAAAGGTGCCCTCAGGTCTTTACACATTAACGTATCGTATTGGAGTGAAAGAAAGGATTTTCGTCAGAGTGTTGTACATATTACATCCTCATCCTTTTCCTCCCCTTTCGAGCATTTCGCTTCTTTTTAAGAGTTTTTCCGCGTCTCTTTCCATTGCGTCTCTTCTTGTGGCCTGAAAATTAAAAATTAAAAATTTATATACATGTATACATGTGTCCTACTGACGCATCTAGCCGCTCATTCATGTCTGGTACACGAGTTGACCCTTTTCTGAAAAATAACGACTGTATCATCTCGAGTAACAGGTTGTGGACTAACAGGGTTTCACTGTATATATGACATTCTCATTTTAGTGTATATATGACATTCCCATTTTACTGTATGTATGACATTCCCATTTTAGTGTATATATGACATTCTCATTTTAGTGTATATATGACATTCCCATTTTACTGTATGTATGACATTCCCATTTTAGTGTATATATGACATTCTCATTTTAGTGTATATATGACATTCCCATTTTACTGTATGTATGACATTCCCATTTTAGTGTATATATGACATTCCCATTTTACTGTATATATGACATTCCCATTTTAGTGTATATATGACATTCCCATTTTACTGTATATATGACATTCCCATTTTAGTGTATATATGACATTCCCATTTTACTGTATATATGCCATTCCCATTTCACTGTATGTATGACATTCCCATTTCACAGTATATGTAACATTCCCATTTCACAGTATGTATGACATTCCCATTTCACAGTATATATAACATTCCCATTTCACAGTATATATGACATTCCGATTTCACTGTATATATGACATTCCGAGTTCAACTGCTATAACAGCCTGTGCCTGCAGACTAAGATGGTGTATTCCTTCAAAGTGGAACGTGGTAATTTCCGGCAACAAGCAAACCCTTGTTCAAGCAAATAGTGCGTTTGGCGGGTGCTGAAAGAGAAGGACATGCTTAGCAATTTCGCGAACACTTGGTGTCATCACTGATTTTCAGTGATCCATTCATATAATTTTCACCGCCATTATTCGTTTTAGGCCGAGTGGAATCTGTATAAGCACATGACCGAGACTGGTTATTCTTTGGCATTGACGTTTTACATTTAACAGAGGAACTTACCCCTTCTCCCCCTTCTCCTCTGCTTGCGACCACGCTTTTTCTGTTTCCCTTTCTTGCCCGCAGACCTGTGAGACTTTGTCACCTTGGCGCAGTCTTCATAATTATCCTCAGCTACAGTTTGAACATCCGCTAAAATATACCAACGTCGTATTGGCAGGTTGTATTTGGGAACAATATGCTGTTCTATAGAACTTTTCCTTTAGGAGGCCTGCTGGTAAAGTTCTCGAACTGTATCGGGAGTTTGTTAACGACGGTTAAGTCAGTCTATCTCCTTTATGAAGCCGAGAAAATAACTGAAGTCGTTAAATATTTCGGCGTACTATACCATAGGGAAATGTGAAGTACTAAACCATAGGAAATTGTTAAGTACTAAACCATAGAAAATTGTGAAGTACTAAACCATAGGAAAATGTGAAGTACTATACCACAGGAAAATGTGAAGTACTATACCACAGGAAAATGTGAAGTAATATACCATAGGAAAATGTGAAGCATTAAACAATAGGAAAATGTGAAGTACTATACCATAGGAAAATGTGAAGTATTATACCATAGGAAAATGTGAAGTACTATACCACAGGAAAATGTGAAGTAGTATACCATAGGAAAATGTGAAGTACAATACCATAGGAAAATGGGAAGTACTATACCATAGGAAAATGGGAAGAACTAAACCACAGGAAAATGTGAAGTACTAAACCATAGGAAAATGTGAAGTACTATGCCATAGGAAAATGTGAAGAACTAAACCATAGGAAAATGTGAAGTACTATACCATAGGAAAATGTGAAGTACTATACCATAGGAAAATGTGAAGTACTATACCACAGGAAAATCTGAAGTAGTATACCATAGGAAAATGTGACGTACTAAACCATACGAAAATGTGAAGTACTAAACCATAGGAAATGGGAAGTACTAAACCATAGGAAATTGTGAAGTTCTATACTACAGGGAAATGTGAAGTACTAAACCACAGGAAAATGTGAAGTACTTTACCATAGAAAAATGTGAGTATTGTCCCAATTTACCCCAGGACGCGTGTTGTTTACGGCAAAAGTGAATGAGAATATCGCCGCGACTTTCTTTAAACAATGGCGTAAATGTATTGTGATCATGCTGTGTAACGTCATAGCGCTATGTGATGTCATCAATGAAAAGTCGCTGCACGTGAGGATTTGAGGTGTCCCCCCACCGTGATATAGCTCGAATATTGCTAAAAGTGGCGTAAAACCCAATTCAGCCACTCACTTACTATAAAGACGTAAATGCGCACATTTTCGTCCATGCATAATCTAATATATATTTTTCGTATATATTAACGTTTTATAATTATGTTGAAAATATATTATTTAAAATTAAATACTATTTATTATCCTTTAATGCAATATTGTTACGACGGTGAGTGATATCCCAGTATACCTCTATAACAACGTGTGGATTTGGCGTGGTGGTGCAGACTTTTCCTTTTTGTTTGAATAGCTCATATCAAATAACAAAGGTTTTAACCTCAAGATCATCAACTAACCTTCAATTCATCTAGAACTAGTAAGCTGACCTATTTTCATTATCTACGTGTGGGATAGTAGGAAAAGCGTTAGTTTGTTGTGTCGAAAACCCGGGTTCGAATTTCCAGATTTTTCCCAATGTGTGGTGTCCCTCGACTTGGAACGGCCAAATATTCCTAAACATTGCGTACAACTAACCTCATCAACATCAGGGTATGAAACTCCCAAAAATTTCAGCCAGACCACAGGACTGGCTAGCTGAAATACTTGCCAGCCCTGACCAAAACCTGCTTGCCCACCATAATCATATGTTTCTCAGGATAAGCTAACGGGGTTTCTTTTTGGTTACATTTTATCATTCATCTTTACATGTCAATTAATGATTATCATCGGGAAATATTTAGAATATTGTCACATATGAAATATAACCCGACCGTCGGGCAGGGGGATTTGAAAATCTGGCAGCCCGAGTTGAAATCAACCCGTCTCGGACGGTCGGGCAGGCAGGTATTTCGAACACTGTCAACATCCATACATTTCGTTTGGGGGAAAGCGACAAAAGTATTAGATCACTAATTAAAAGTCGTTCTGTTCACGCCATTGAAATATTACCGGGATTTATTGGCTTTTAATGTCATTGCCTGTGTCGACGTAGTCGTTGACTAACCGTTCCGTCTAACTCCGTGCCCGTACTCTCAAACTTACTCTCAAACTGCAAAACAAATCCTCTTCCAGATTTTGACTGTGGTGATGCACGAAACACTATTTCCACACACCCGCCAGAAAATGTTTCATCCAACGTATTACTCCCCCTTAACTTTTTCCTCAGGGTCCTGCGGCCTTTTATATGGTATATCTTAACGTTATCTCCCTTCGTATCGGGGTCAAGGTCGATATCTTGGGTGCGAAGGCGCAGTTTGCCATCTCTCGGGACACGGATCATCTTCCGGCATGATGTTTTTGCCACCTTGTAATGCCAGGGGTAGTTGCTATGACTCTTGACCACCCCCTGGGTTTTGTTGACCACTAAACTATCTCTGTCACACAGCTCGACCACTTTATCTGGAAAATAAGGATGATAATCAAAATCTTAACCTTGTTCCTGACCCGTCAAACCAAAATACGTTAAAAGATGGTACTTGTTGTACCCTGCCTGGCGCTCGCTCACTCGCTCACTCACTCACTCACTCACTCGCTCCCTCACTGGGGCGGTCGGGTAGCCCAGTGGTTAAAGCGTTCGCTCGTCACGCCGAAGACCAGGGTTCGATTCCCGACATGGGTACAATGTGTGAAGCCCATTTCTGGTGTCCCCGGCCGTGATATTGCTGGAATATTGCTAAAAGCGGCGTAAAACCATACTCACTCACTCACTCTTTATTTTGTGTTTTTCACTCCACCGAATATGTACCGACCTTCTTCAATGCAGCTGTACCCTGAGAAGGAGACGTATTTGGGCGGGACAGACAGACACCTGATGGCCCGCGACATTGTGATAGGAACTCCTGTCTTCCATGCAAACTCGCAGGAGTTTTTCCAATAACACACATACTTCTGTGTGAGGAATGTGTGAGTCATGCCGAGGCAGTCTCCACGACGGTACGAACATCTTCCATCAGTGCTCACTCCAACCTTGATTTCCGGTTTATAGATCACGTGACCGGGAGGACACGTTAAGTTCATCTGTTCGCGCTTGGGTGTAATGCATTCCTCGACCGACCCATAAACTGGAATATCAAACAAGCAAGATAATTATACCTTAACGAATCTGTTGAAACTTCCTCCACGGAAATTAACTACAATATAATCTCCCACCTGCATGATTTCACAGTCACATTATATATGTCATTAATAGACTGCAGAGCTCCAGATAAGCTTTTGGTGTTGTGGGTATTTTACCCATACATTTTAAAATCATTGGGTATCAGTAATTCTATCTGGGTATTCAAATTTCTGTTACCCACTAGCTTTTACACATGTGGGTATTTAAGTTAAATATTTAAAAACACTATTCATCTAGTCCCTGCAAACTAGTGTCGTGTGGGTTCGTGAGCTTTATGGGGCTCAAAAATACCACGACACTTCCACAAGAAAGTGTGATGGCAAATGATCGTGATGAAACTGTCATCGTGGAGTTTGGCAAGGTTGACGGAATGCCCGTTTATAATTTCAAAATAAGTTGCTGATTTGCTAATCGAATACGCAGGGTTACTTCACAATATTTTGATGATACGCACAAGTTTTATTTTTGTAGCTTGTCTGTGATGTTCGTTGCGTATTTGATACGCTTGGATTTTATTTTACTGCGTATTTCTGCATTTCTGATGCGTATTTTACGCAGATACGCAGCTTATCTTGAGCTCTATTATAGACACAGACAGAGCAACCAATGTTCAAACATCAATGTGACCCGTGAACATCCGGGGTAGAATAGGTCTTCAGTAACCAATGCTTGCTGTAAAAGGCGACTATGTCGTAAGAGGCGACCAACGGGATCGGGTGGTCAGGCTCGCTGACTTGGTTGATGCATGTCATCTATCCCAATAGCGTGGAGCGATGCTCGTGATTTTAATCACTGGATTGTCTGGTCCAGACTCGATTATTTACAGATCGCCGTCATATCGCTGGAATATGACTGAGTGTGGCTTAAAACAACCAACATCAAAAAAAAGATACACACAATATGGGAGAGCAAACATATTGATGTGTGTGATGTGTATCTGAATCGTGCAGTATTTCTGACATCCTGTCTCACACTCAAACGTTATGAAACTCATGACATGATCATTAATTGAGTGATTCTTGAACACATGCACAATCTGTTAAGCATTCCTCAAATGTTTAACCATCCTACCTTTGAAAAGAGTTTCTGGAAATATGGGAACGGGTCTTTCACGTCGGTTGTTTCTTTGTTCGGGTGCAGTTTCCTCCAGCTTATCTGCAAGTAACATGAAGTGATATTATATAATAATATAATAACAATACAATGACAATATGTCATTAATATGATAAAAATATAATATTAATATATATTAATCAATGTAATAACACCAAAAGAAATAGAATAATATAATAACAATATAATAACAATTAAAAAAATAAAACAATAAAATAACAATATAATAACAATTGAAAACAAATAAAAACAATTAAAAGAACAATATAACAACAATATAATACCAATAAAATACAACTGATGTTAGAATAGCTGCAGCTGCCCATATGCATAATGTAATATGCAACACAATTGATCCCAAGACGTACACAGTATTCTGTTGCATCACAGTCTGCCAGCTTCATAAGGGAGCAGGGCCCACTTGCACAAAGCGATCTTAGCACTACAATTATTGAAGCCTATGTTAAAGTATGGGAGTTACGATGATCTTAGCGCTAAGAACGCTTTGTACAAGTGGGCCCTGGTCTTACACGTTTATCACTTTGCAAAACCCGCGATCACGGGGATGGTGCTGACAAACCTAGAAATATAATCATGGCGAACCGGAATTGAATCCACGACCTTAGGTTCCTGACACGCCTAAGGGACGCAACTCAGCAGAGGCGACTGGGCCACCTGTGAGCCCTTGATTCTTTGAACGTTTTCCCGTGTTTAAGTAAAAACACATGATCTCTAGACAGTACATTATAATGTAGGTCTTACATTCAAATCTGACAAGGAATCCCGCGCCACCTGTGGAGGCTCTAAACCTCAGCTTCATCTTCTCCTTGCCCTGAGCTTCAAAATTCGTCCCCATCCCAGCTGCAACATCTACAGCATTTCCCTCAGCATATGTGCGTATTGACAAGCTGCCACCGTCGTCCACGTCACCGGCATCGACTGTGACAACCAGCCGACGTTGAGGTTTAGGGGGCAGTGTGAGAGTGCAAATTCTAGGTTGTGCAGCGTACGTCGACGGGTACGTTACATGGCTGCGTATCACGCCGTAGTCGACGTTGTTGAAATCGCTACCGTGGGAACAGATGTCGTAGAGGTGATCTGCAAGTAGGACGAAGAATTTACCAGGCAATGTTATAATTGATTGTCAGAATTGTGAGTGAGTGAGTGAGTGAGTGAGTGAATGCGTGCGTGCGTGCGTGCGTGCGTGCGTGCGTGCGTGCGTGCGTGCGTGAGGGAACCAGGAAGGGAGGGAGGGAGGGAGGGAGTGAGGGAGGGAGGGAATGTGGGATGGATGGAGGGAGGGAGGGAGTGAGGGGACACTATAAGTGGGCTCATTGTACCCGGGCCTTCCGCGTTAACCGCAAGGTTACCCCACCGCTTGTCTTACTTATTATACTTATTATTGACAAATTACAGTGCATATCTTGTATATCGATCTATGTCCTCCCATGCATTTATGAATAAAGACTTATATTCATTTTAACCTAAAGATGTACCCCGCCCTTACCTGTATCAGGATGGGCTGATTACATCAACGCGTGTTTTAACAAGATGTAAAATTCCTTACGCACCTCATGTACGGGGCATATATACTTGAAAGGATTGCTGATTAGCTCTGGGTCAGGCTAACTTCCTTAGTCTTTTGAAAACGTTTTGCTATTTCTGGACTTATTTTCTCAGACCAGTTACGTCTTATCCCCCAAGCAGGAAGTATCGTATGGGTTTTGCACGTGAAGCACATTTTATGGTACAAATGTTTTGAATAGCGTGCTGGAGCAAGATATTTAGAATGGGTGAGTATGGTCTTACGCGGCAGCTTCTGGTAATGTTCAAGTTCTATCACGACAGGAGACACATGACATGAGCTTCACACGTGTAGTTTCTGGTTTGCATGGGAAAGTTACATTAACTATCAACATGTGCGAACCATTGTGCATCAGTAGACCCACATCCACAACCATACCAACACCAACACCAACACCAACACCCACACCCACACCCACACCCACACCTACATCAACACCAACACCCACACCCACACCCACATCCACATCCACATCCACACCCACACCCACACCCAAACCCACAACCACATCAACACCAACACCAACATTCACATCCACATCCACATCCACATCCACACCCACTCCCACATCCACATCCACACCCACATCCACACCCACATCCACGCCCACATCCACATCCACATCCACACCCACACCCAAACCCACAACCACATCAACACCCACACCCACATCTATACCCACATCCACATCCACATCCACACCCACACCCACACCCACATCCACATCCACACCCACACCCACATCTATACCCACATCCACATCCACACCCACACCCACACCCACACCCACACCCACATCCACATCCACATCCACACCCACACCCACATCCACGCCCACATCCACATCCACGCCCACATCCACATCCACGCCCACACCCACACCCACATCCACGCCCACATCCACATCCACGCCCACATCCACATCCACACCCACACCCACATCCACGCCCACATCCACATCCACATCCACATCCACATCCACGCCCACATCCACATCCATACCCACACCCTGATCCACATCCACATCCACATCCACATCCACACCCACACCCACATCCACGCCCACATCCACATCCATACCCACACCCACATCCACATCCACACCCACACCCACATCCACATCCATACCCACATCCACACCCACATCCACACCCACACCCACATCCACATCCACGCGCACATCCATGCCAACATCCATACCCACATCCATACCCACATCCATACCCACACCCACACCCACATCCACACCCACACCCACATCCACATCCACGCGCACATCCATGCCAACATCCATACCCACATCCACACCCACATCCACATCCACATCCACACCCACACCCACATCCACGCGCACATCCATGCCAACATCCATACCCACAATGTTTGGAGTAAGGGGCGACTAACGGGATCGGGCGGTCAAGCTCGCTGACTTGGTTGATGCATGTCATCACCCAATTGCCTAGATCGATGCTCATGATGTCAATCACTGGGTTGGCTGGTCCAGACTCGATTATTTACAACGCAGCCTTAAACCAAATTCACTCAGGCACCATTGAAATACTGACACGTACACCTTTAATTTTCAAATAAATCCAGGAAATATGATCTGAATAGCCTTGACACTGGTCATATTTTATTCGTTTACCATTCGCCCGGGATTTGAAGAAAGACGATAAGCCTTCACAACATATAAACACACCGGCAGCTGGTTCCAATGAATGTCAGGGTGTTTCTTCCTTATCGAGTCTGGAAACCACAGATAAATAATATGGGACATGAAAAACTCTCAACGCTGCCTAAATCATGATACAGTGCGAGGAGTTGAGGCCGTTATTTAGCCTTGTAACCTCGAGTCTCGCTGATGGATTGCGACAGTGATGGATGTGGGAAAGTACAGCAGCGTCATTGTGCAACGTTACGGGCGTGTTGCATTCTGGGACAACTTCTGTTGATACTTGTTTTTCCTTTACCATATGTTTTAGACACGGGGCCTAATATATCATAATAATTTAAGCTGAGAAGGCTTGTGCAATGAGCAATGGAGTTTGGGCTTGAAAGTATGGAATGGATTTTGGAATGGAGTTTGGATTGGAACGTGGATGTCAATCTTATACTTGCATAAATCTCTAAGGCAATAATTATTAGTTTAAATAATATTTTATAGTTTATATGAGTAATAAGAACAAGTTATCCCTATATAAGACTGGCGTACTGTCCGCTTATCTAGACTAGCCTATTGTCAGGATAAAGTTACTACACATCCATGGACGTATCTTTTGATATACAGTAAAGTACGGTTATAACGAACTGAAAGGGACTCCTATTTTTAGTTCGTTATAACCGTAGTTCGTTATAAGCATATATACAGCATAACCACAGCAAATAGTCGGGACTAAAAAGTAAGTTCGTTATATCCGTCAGTTCGTTATCAGCGTGTTCGTTATAACCGTAGTTTACTGTACAACCTTGGAGCAAGGCTATCAGCTTTTACCCACACCACTCCCCTGCATTGCAGGCAAAGCTCAGACCAGGGTCTGTGTGACAGACTACTGTGGCAGTTGACTAACATCTAGTCTCTGAAATGTAAATATTTTCCAGTAAACAGTTGTTACATTATAGTTATAAAATATTATATAAAGGAGCCCGGAGACTTTCTTCATACTGCAAAAATCTAGACTTGCCAAACATTAAAGACTTGCATGGGCTGTATTGGATATATTTGTTTCAGGGTCTGTATGAGAGACAACTTGGGGAGAGGAAACATACCGAGACGAGGAAACAGTTTATTTAAAACTGCAGCCTAATGGAACGAATGTTATATTTGGGATAACACTTTCTTGTATAGATTCTAGGGTATCGAACCCACACTCTCGCCAACACCTAATCACCAGCTCACAAGGTAAGCAACCTAACCCAGTCAGCCACCGTTTTCCACAAAATGAATCGCCCGACATGTAGTCGGGATCACGTACTTTGAGGGGCGGTGAGGTAGCCTAGTGGTTAACGCGTTCGCTCGTCACGCCGAAGACCCGGGTTAGAATCCCCACATGGGTAAAATGTGTGTAATCTTATGACGCACATCAGAAAACCGTATGGCTTTTTTTAAATATCTCTCATGTTTATTATCTTTACAAAAGATATCTATGATGCCTATCAATTCTCAGGGGGCACGGGTGGCCCAGCCGTCTAAGGCGCCGCGATTCGCTGTGCAGAGTTGCGTCCCTTGGGCACGCCAGAAACCTATGATTGTGGGTTCGAATCCCGGTTCGCCCCTATTATGTTTCTAGGTTTGTCAGCACCATACCCGTGCTCGTGGGTTTCACCGAAGTGGTAAACGTCTGAGACCTGCATCACTTCAGCCTTTCCACCCACATTAAGCTGACACGCCGTGATATAACTGGAATAATGTTAAAAGCGGCGTTAAACCAAACTCACTCACTCACCCTATCAATTCTCAAAAATGTTACAGAGTAGACTTGCCAAGTCTCTACGGCATTGATTATATAAATAATAAGACTTTTCCAGTCATTTCGTTAACATATATTTGATATCAGTCATTAGTGGTGATAGTTTTTCCTGTACATCAAATACATCTTGTTGAAAGTTTGATCTGTCATTCTGTTTAGTTTTGGAACTGCATGCACTAACAAAGTGGCACAGGATATAGTTTTGAGTAAACTTAACATCGTTTACTTTTTAAAAATACACAGTTTCACTGTGCAGGCAAACTGAAACTCAGTCTATACGATGTAAGAAAACAGAATGTTTCGATGAATAGATTATGCTCCTGTAAACTAACATAGTCTATGAAATCGTTGCTGATTTGAAGTAGAGCTGGCTGTAGCTGGATAGGCTGGATATAAATTTAGATTTCATATATTCCACAGTCATGCAGGACGAATGTTCCTGGCGTGTCACCTCATATTGCAGAGGTTGTTATGGACGAGTCGACTCAGTAAAAAGTCATGATTTTTGCTGTGCAGAAACACCAACATAAACAACACAACAATTGTAAGATTAAAAAAGATAAAAGATACACTCTCTCTCTCATACATACATACATACATACATACATACATACATACATACATACATTTCTGGTGTCCCCCGCCGTGATATTGCTGGAATACTCACTCACTCACTCACCCACTCACTCACTCACTCACTCACTCTCACTCACTCACTCACTCACTCACTCACACACACACACACACACACACACACACACACACACACACACACACACACACACACACACACACACACACACACACACACACACACACACACATACATACATACATACAGTCCATTTCTGGTGTCCCCCGCCGTGATATTGCTGGAATACTCGCTCACTCACTCACTCACTCACTCACTCACACACACACACACTCACACACACACACACACACACACACACACACACACACACACACACACACACACACACACACACACACACACACACACATACATACATACATACATTTCGGTGTTTCGATGTTTGTCCATT